GTGTGTGTGTGTGTGTGTGTGTGTGTGTGTGTGTGTGTGTGTGAATTAATTACACTGTAAATAATTTAGGGTTCCACACAATCGATTTGTTTTGAGACAACAGGAATTAATGGTGCTGTTTGTAAGTTTTTGTCTCTTCTAAAGCACAGAAATGCCATATGTTGCAGATATTGAAGAAACATGCCAAGTGAACATTCTTGATTTTCTGAAAAACAATACTGAAGTCAGATATTCTGCTTTAAAAATGCCAAAACGTCTGTCTTTGTTTTGGTTCTTTTAAACTACCGAATGCTAGCTTAGCTATTATATTTCATCCCACAATTGTATTTCAGCCCAAACTCTGGGTTGCGTTGGTGGAAAACCGAGTATTTCATTTATTCAGTCAGGAAGGATCTCAAAGTGTGCATCGCAACCGAAATGCAACCGAAATGGAACCTCTAGAGTTCCACATGAGGTTTTTAATTAGCAAATAATATAAATATTACGAGCGTAAACATTAGGTGAACAGGTTACATTGTAACCCTGTGTCCTGACAACACGCTACGTGATGAGATTTGCAGTGATAAGCAATTTGGCTGTTTGCACCAAACAAAACACCACAAAAATTTAAATACAGCCATTCAGAAGCACAAAATAGAGCACTCACTGCACACCGACAAAATGATAAAGTTTATAATCTAATTAATACATATTAAACCTCTTTAACATTATTAAATGTAGATGCTGAATCACTGATATGTGTTGGCTTGCACTGAGTCACAGATCTAAAGTTCAATTTCAAACGGTTTATTTTATTTCCAAGATCTGAGGTGAACTATCTGCTGCTGCTTTCAGTAGTATGGCAATAAATGTCATGTATAATGGCATTCAAACTCGAACGATTAGCTTTTAACACTGAGTCAAGCACATAAGGTGTACCTGAGGTAAGGTAGGTTTTCTGTTCAGCTGCAAGAAATAGAAGCCGTCTCTAATATATCAATTTCAGCTTAGAACAAAAACTCCTTTTAATATGTGAAATATTGGCATTTCTGTGTGGAGTTTGCATGTTCTCCCTGCTATTGGGCTTCCTCCGGGTGCTCCGGTTTCCCCCACAGTCCAAAGACATGTGGTACAGGTTAATTGGGTAAGCTAAATTGTCCATAGTGTATAAGAGTGATTGAGTGTGTATGGATGTTTCCCAGAGATGGGTTGCAGCTGGAAGGGCATCCGCTGCATTAAACATGTGCTGGATAAGTTGGTGGTTCATTCCGCTGTGGCGACCCCAGATTAATAAAGGTACTAAGCCAAAAAGAAAATGAATGAATGAATTCCTTCGTGTGTTGTTGCTTTTATTTAGTAAACAATTGAAATCTGCCAGAGGCTTGATAGTAAGGCACAGTTCTGTTGATGTCATCAATCTACAGTAGTAACCTGTGCTTGCGAGACCAATTGATGTCAAACATACATACTGAAACTTTAAGTTAGCTTATTGGTTCTCATAAATTTAAGTAGATTGAACATAAAACAACTAAGTTGTCTGGGAAAAAACAACAATTGTGTTGTTTCAGCTTATTTAAAAGTAATATAAAATATTCAGCTCATAAAAAAGTAATTTGAACAAACAGCAAACATATTTTTTGAGTGTATACAGTTCGTTAGATAAAAATATTATACTGTGTAAGATTAAAAGTAGGTCATTTAATATGAATCAAGTGTCTTTTAATTATATCATAGGTGGTTTTGGTCTCATAGATATTTGTAATGATAAAAATAATCACTTTTTGTACTAAGGTTTTATATTCTTGGAAAGAGCCAGGGTTAATCTTAGGTTTGTGTGTGTTTTTACAGACTGTCCTCATGCAGTTAGATCATGTCCCTGCTTTCTGAGAACACATTTAGCTCTGTCTGGAAACTGTGTGAAAGCAACAGCTGCTTAGAAGGAAAGGGAAAGAAAAAAAACATCTCCTGTGTCTCGTCTGTTGGAGCAGTGAAATCTGGGCAAATCAGAAAAATAAGTGCCACATTCACCTGTTTCACTTTCATTTTGATCAAACTTAGTTTGGTTGAGCAAGGGATATGAACCGGTCTTTTTTCTATGTAAAAACAAATGTAATTATGCTATAGAAATATGCTTTTTTATTGTTGTAGTATGCTTTACAAAAAAAAGAAATGTTTAACCACAATTCCATGTTTATTCAATGTGTTATTTCAAAACAATCTCACTTCAATTCGTAACCTTTTGATTTAGTGGCTAATTTATGTTATTTTTATGGATACATTTTAGTATAAATTGTGGTAGGGTTAGGGTTTGAGAATACACCTCTTATGAATGAAATCATATGAATTTGTACAAATTGGCCACTCTTCTGTGCGTAAAAGTAGGTAAAACAGTTACGTTGCAATGGAGAGATTAGAGAAGCTGGATGTACAACATGTTACTTCATTAATGTCTCCTAACTACGTGAAAGAAAGTGGTTGTTTAACTGAAAGAAAAGAATAGAATAAACATTCTAGTATTCTAAACAGTGCGTATCTAATGTAAATAAAGCACATTTTCAGTTGACACGCCTCCTTTTTGAATTCGTATTGTTCCTTACAAATGAAATCGTATAAATTTGTACAAATTAGCCACTTTTCTGAATGTAAAAGTATGTAAAATAGTTATGTTTCCTTGTTGCCAGAATGAAAGTGAAAGAACCAAACCGTAGTTAAAGTCGACAAATTAATAATGAAACACCCGAAATTACATGAAACTCCAGAGGTGTAAAAAAATTTAAAAGTTTGATAAAAAAAAGTGTTAAACATTTATACGCTAGAAATTGTATTTTTATGCGAAAATGTAACTGATTTTCTTTTTGGCCTCTTTAAATACGAGATCAATGTAGCGAATTTTGACGGCAGAGCAATACAGGCAGACAGCATTGTCACCAGGGCGGCCAGAGCAAACTTTGACGGTCTTGCCATCTTCGGTGTGATCGCACAGTTATATAGGACTGGTTTCCATTCATTGTAATTACTTAAGAACTTACGTAAGAAATTAAGCTAACAATTCTGAATGACAATTATTTCTACACCCATTTTGTTTAATGTGATGTTTACGCAGCAAGAGCCACCAACAAAATACACTATCACGGTTTTTGTACATGTATAAAAATGGTATGCTTTAAAATATAACATGTACTGGCAATCTTTTCATTACCATTGTATTGCCCTGAGAGTACATGTCATGTGTAAGACGCAGGTTGTTGATCTTTCACCCAGATACGAGTGTCTGCAACAGTCAAGCCAGCTGAGTCACAAAAAATATTTGTGCGCAACAAAAATAGTTTGGTCTGGATCTTAAAGCGCCACAACAACGAGCAGCAACACGCAGCAGTTTAAAAATATATATCGTGGATGCCTGGACTTGGACTTGCTAAGATATGTGCTCAACATATGTGCTCAAATAGGCAGATCATAAATAGTGGCCTACAGATATTTTATGCAATACAGATCATATGTGGTTTTCTGTGTTTCCAACACTATCTTGAGGCAATTTGTAACTTTTTGATTTAGTTGCGTAATTTGTATACATTTGTAGGATTTATTTACTCTTACTATTTAATCCAGCAATGACGGTTGGGTTTAAGGGTGGGGTTATCGACATATCTTCGTTTTAAAATCATAATTTTTAAAAATCTAATCAAATTAACTCGTATAAAATAGCCACCTTTTTGACAATATATAAAATAGTTATGTTTCTCTGTGAAATTAGACTGGTTTTTCATCCATTTTCCAGGGACAGTTTACACAAAAGTGAAAATATATTTATCCACACTCAAGTGGTTCTCAACTTTTATGAACACAAAACAAGATATTCTGAAGAATAATGAAAAAAACAGCCCTTGACATTCAAACAAGAACCAAAAGTACCAATGGACATCAATTTTAGCACGATTTATTTACTCATCCCCCAATGATGTTTGTGTTAAGGGCTGAGGTTTGGGGACGCGCCTCGAATCAAATGAAATCATATGAAATGTTATTTGACTATACTACAAAAATAGTTTGTATTTTTCTTCGTGAAATTGGCCTGGTTTTTCTTTGATCTTAAAGACATAATTCATCCCAAAAGTGAAAATATACTCAGTATTATTTCACACTCTAGTGCACAGGTGTCAAACTCAGTTCCAAAAGGGCCGCAGCTCTGCACAGTTTAGTTCCAACCCTAATTAAACACACCTGATCAAACTAATTGAGTCCTTCAGGCTTGTTTGAAACCTACAGGTAACCTGTTGGGCTTCGGCCCTTTTGGAACTAAGTTTGACACCCCTGCTCTAGTGGTTTCAAACTTTTATAAACAAAAAACAAGATATTCTAACGAATGTTGGAAAAAACAGCCATTGGCATCCAAAGAGGAACCAAAATACCATGAGCATCAATGGGAGATTTTCCTACACAATCTCACGGCAGTTTGTAACGGTGATTTAGTTACGTGTCATATTTGTACGATCTCTTTTGTACATTTTAATATGATTTATTTACTCATCCCCAATGATTGTTGGGTTAAGGGCTGAGGTTTGGGGAAATGCCTCGAATCAAATGAAACCATATGAAATAGACCTTTTTTTTTTGACTATTCACCTTATTCTTTGCAAATGAGCGGGCGCAGCCATTTTAATTTTTTTGGCTTGAGACAGCCGGTCTCATTCACTTCCATTCATTTTTAGAAGTTAGAAACAGCTTGTTTTGCTGCTTGATGTTGAAAACTGATTTTTTTTTATATTATATTACTTTGTCTGTATAGTCAAGGACACACTTGTTTGTAGAGGAAGCAGTTTGACTGTTTTCCTCCATTTATTATTAGTAATTTAGGGAGCTGAATCATAAGTTCTAAAACAATTGGAAAAAAGACACACTTCCACATTGAATACAATAGTTTCTACTTGTCCTTGTGAAATTGGCCTGGTTTTTCTTCCATCTTAAAGGAAGAAAAATTCATTCCAATAGAGAAAATATACTCTGTATTTATTCACACTCAAGTGGTTTCAAACTTTTATGAACAAAAAAAACAAGATATTCTAACGAATGTTGAAAAAAACAACCATTGGCATCCAAAGAGGAACCAAAAATATCATGGACATTAATAGGAGATTTTCCAACACAATCTCACGGCAATTTGTAACTTTTTGATTTAGTTGCGTAATTTGTATACATTTGTACAATCTCTTTTGTACATTTTAGCATGATTTATTTACTCATCCCCCAATAATGGTTGTGTTTAGGGCTGAGGTTTGGGGACACGCATCGAATCAAATTAAATAGTATTTAATAGCCAATTTTTTGACTATACTACAAAAATAGTTTGTATTTTTCCTTGTGAAATTGGCCTGGTTTTTCTTCCATCTTAAAGGCATAATTCATCCCAAATGTGAAAATATACTCAGCAATTATTCACACTCTAGTGGTTTCAAACTTTTATAAACAAAAAACAAGATATTCTGAAGAATGTTGGAAAAAACAGCCATTGGCATCCAAAGAGGAACCAAAAACACCATGGACATCAATGGGAGTTTTTTCAACGCAATCACACAGGAATCTGTAACTTGGCGATTTAGTTTCGTTTGTCATATTTATTTGTATGGTCTCTTTTGTACATTTGAATATGATTTATTTACTCGTTCCCGAATGATGGTTGGGGTTTAGGGCTGAGGTTTGGGGACATGTCTCCTTTTAAAAATCATTAAATCAAATTAAATCGTATGAAATACAATACCACTTTTTCTTTTTGTTTATATTTTTCCTCACAAAATCGGCCTGGCTTTTCTTTTATCTTAAAGGCATAATACATCCCAACAGTGAAAATATGCTCAGTATTTATTCAAACTCAAGTGTTTCTAAACATTTATGAACACAAAACAAGATATTCTGAAGATTGTTGTAGGAATCCATAGTAGGAACCAAAAATACTATGACCTTCAATTTTTCTGACACATTTCGGTAGATCTTCCTTTGTATTTAACAGAAAAATAAACTCACAAAGAAACAGGAATGAAACAGGTTTAAGGTAAATAAAGGGAGAATGAATCTTGTTTTCCCTTTAGCACATATGCAGTATACAGTCCCTCTTGCTTAATCTTGAAAGTAACTGTCATGTCCAAACTGAATGAAAACAAAACTTCATCAGGGGTCATGTGAAAATCTCTTGGGAAACTTCATGCTTTAAGGAAGTGTATGCCAACTAGACCCACAAAACAGAAATTAGCGCTTGAACCTAGTCTTAATGCGCATGATTCATCGGTGCTCATATTCAGACAACATTTTCACAATGTATGTGTTCTTAAATCAATTCAAAATGGTTAGACTCGCTTTTGAAACAACTTTTCTTTTCTTGTTGATGCTACTTACACCAAAACAGAAGAATGGACTTTAAGATGATGTACTTATTTAAAAACATTACTAATATTAAAGGTCCTCTCATTTTTTTTATTCAGTGTAATCTCAACTGAAACATAAAGACAGGGCAGGCCAAACATTAGCTCCTCCCCTTACAAAAAACAGGCAAAAGCGTTTGGCATTTCTGCATTAACGCTTTACCATTGCACACACTTTGTAAAATTTCATTCATCAAGTTTAGGAGTCTCTTTAACACTTATGTTTATGTTACTATAAAGAGATCAGCTATTTTGTTTACATATTTTTGTTTTTGACTATTAAAACTATTTGCCTTGGTAATGTTGGTAATCCTAATATTAATCCTAATATTCCTAAATGTGTTGTTAAAAAATATTTAGTAATTATGATATGAAACACGATAGCGTGATAATTATTTTTGCAGTATTGCTCAGCCTTAGACTGACTAATCATGTTGTCAAGTTATATAAATGTCATAAACTAGACCAGTGTTTCTCAACTTGTGGGTCAAAACCCACGTAACATTTTTAGTGGGTGAAAATGTAACATTTTTGAGTGTGTGGTCAAAAAAAAAACAACGAAAGTAAAAATTTTTAATTATTTTGCTTATACCGGACTTTTATTTTAAAATGCATGCGCGACAACCCTACCGTTTGACATGTGAAATTTAATTTAATTATTCCAACAAATTTGTCGAAGTGCAAGTACGACAAATAAGTATTGACGACAAAAAAGACTTAAAGCCTCAGTTTTATATGTGAGGTGCACTCATAAGAGCCCAGCCGGCACACGACCGACCTTCAACGTTGAAATATGGATGAAATAAGGTCAGATGTGTTTTGAACGTTGAAATAATGTTGATAGAACGTTTAATGTTGAACGGTTGAAAAACAGCCTGCATATGACAAGGCTTCAACGTTGAAATGTGGTTGAAAATACGTCAGTTGTTGCTTTAATGTTGAAACAATGTTGAATGATAAATGGTTGAAAAAAGTTACAGAAATACTTGTACAAATCAACGTTGACATTTTTTTATCATGGTCTGTATGTTGAATTAACGTCATTGCTTCACCCAATATTCAACATGTTTGGTTACCATGGTATCGGAGGACTCGGCGCACGCGGCCACGCGCAGCGCTTCACTTCACTTAATTACGAACACCTGACCTGCAGTGCAGCAGAATTCAGAGGTAAGCGTGTTTTTAGATGCTTTAATGTTTTATTTACCCCCCGATTTTGTTTTACACACAGTGTATCTTAAATGTGACTTGGTGTGGTGTTTCGAATTTTGAAGCATTTAAAACTTTCCAGTTTGTTTTTAGTCTTGTTTGCGCTCCGGTGACGCAGCTAACCTCGAGGTAATGTCACATGTTTAACGTTAGTCTAAATGAGCGTTTTTATGGCAAATTCAAAGCGATAAACTCTAAACTCAGTTTAAAGTTACTGAGCAACGTTATAAAACAATATCCATTTTATACGCTGTATTATTAGTGTTATTATTACAAAGTGAACTGCTGTCGTTTCACTGTTGTTGTTGTTTTTGCTTTTAGACATGTAACTAACTTACTCCAGAGACGCACTAACTTGCACAGCATTGAATGGAAAAGGCTTTGTCCATGTAAGTTTACTTTACCTTTAACTAAGCTATCTGTTAAATCTTCTTGGTGCTTTGGTTGGTGATATTCTCTTTCTAATCTGTTTGTTTATTGATTGTTAGGCTATGTTGTGATATTATATTGTTATATTGATATTATTATTGTGAAATCATGTTGTGATGTTATACTATGTGACAGTATTGGGGAACAAGTGAAGTTTATTCATAAACTAATTTCGAGAGGATCACGTGCTTATGATTTATCACGTCCAGTCTCGCATTTGCTAATCACTAATCTTCCAATCATATGAGCCCTAAGGCACCATAAATAGTCTAAGTTTCCAGTTCACTTTATGTTCGTTTGGAA